ATCCCGGATTTATTTATCTCTGCCCCCACCCCGGCTTTAAGCTGCGCCGCGTCCTGTGCCCACGATGAAGCGACCTTGCGAGGAAACTACCTCAGACAGCGACATGGACGAGACTATAGACGTGGGGAGTGAGAACAACTACTCGGGGTAAGTGCCCCCCCACCCACTCCCACCCCGAGGGCCCCCGGCCCTGGGATGGGGCAGAGTGAGGGGAAAACCCAGCCGCTCCTTTTGGGGGGGTGGGGGGGAAGAGCAGCCCCCCCAGTGCGAAGCGGGGTACGGTTTTGTCCTCCGTCCGGGTCAACTAGCAGCTTATTGATAAGCCCCCCCCACCCCCGCCAAGAATTTGCCCCAAGGTCTGGCTGCCCGAGCCTCGAAATCACACAGAGCACTCAAGTAACTTGTGAGCCACCGGGCTGCAGTTCATTAGCTCCCCTTAATTTGCCATTTTCAACCAGCCCTTTTCCCAAATCGCTCCTCAGCAGGCCGAACAACCCGAGGGAAATGAGCTTTGGAAAGTAAGCAGGGGTCCACAGCAGATAACGGTAACTTCTGCGAACCCTGCGTGCAAGCCGAGGGCGAGCCGAAGGGATTGCCCGACGGAAAGCCGGCTTGGGAGCTCCACGGGGTCCGTGCCGGTCCTCAAAACTGGTCCTGCCAATTTAGAGGCACATCCACCGGAGCCCCGTCTCGTCCGCGTCAGTGGCTAAATGAGTATTAAATGCTACTGGATTTTTTTCACTCGCTCGTGACGAAATAAAAGCCTTTCCGCACTCGTGGGTAGTGTAGTTTTAAAAGTGGATTTTGAATTCCGTTCCTGATGCGGGACAACGCAACAGACCCGGGCTGGGCAACTGGCTTTGTACTTAAGCATCTCTCGACTCTTGTAGCAATGGGCAGGAATGTCAAAACCTAGCAGGCCAGGCAGAGGTTGTGGCATCAGATACACGTCCTTACCACTGCTGTTAGCATATAGAGATGGTTCACGTGGGTTTGGACTCGGTTCTTCACCCTGTATTTGGTAGGCAGGGCTTTATATCCGATGGAAACAAGATCCGCTGCACCGGATGGTGAACTGTCTCCGGAAAGGGACTTTATTTTCAATAGAGTGTTCTGTCAATTCAAAATATATGCTGGGGCAATCAAAAATGAAATGTCTCTCTCTCTTTAAAAATACCGTGCGGTGCAAAGAACGTCTCCTAAGCATTGAAAACGGCATGAGAGGGACTATGCATACTTAATATGGTGACCTAAGGTGTCTTCAAAGAGCGGTGTCAAGTTGTGCAACACCTGACATACTTTTATTGTTTCACAGGCAAAGTAATAGTTCTGTCATTCGATCAAATTCCCCAACAACAACATCTCAGATTATGGCCAGAAAGAAAAGAAGAGGGGTACGTTGCGTTTAATTCTTTTCCCGTGTGCCAATTTGCGTGTGTGCTGTGATTTTGCCCTTCAACATTTTTTTATAAACTTAATGTGTTTTGTTTTTTTGGGAATAGATTATAGAGAAAAGGCGCCGTGATCGTATAAATAACAGTTTATCAGAGCTGAGGCGGCTTGTGCCAACTGCTTTTGAAAAACAAGTAAGCCCTTTTTTTTTTTTTTTTTTAATTCTGTATCTCATCTGGCAATGTTAGTTCTCTTGTAAAACTCATTAAAATAATATTGTATGTGTCCTGATCTGGCACAAAGCAGGCATTTCAATAAAATGCTTTCTTGTGGCGAAACTATTAGAAACATAATTCATTATAAGGCTGAAAAACATTTCCATTCTTTGGCTTGTTTTTCCCTTAAGGGTAACTGTATTCATGTTGCCTCTGTTCTTTCGATGAATTCCAGTAGTGGTTTTGTTAAAAATGTGCTTTACTCCATATTTAAAAAAAAAACAACAAACCCAACCCAGCTCCCCCCAACCTCTATGTCAATTAGCCTTCCATCTAAATCTTTAAATATAATCTCTTTCGCCCCTACTTTAAGAAACCTTAATTTTTGAATCTATAATTTCAGTTCCAAACTGATCAATCCAGTTTCCTGAAAAGGGAACAGACAGTCTGGATTATTCACGTTTTAAACTGACTCTTTAGAACTGGGGCATTAGGAGAGGGAATAGGCCCATGTCATGTGAGCTGGTGAAGTCAGTGATACGTTCAAAGACTTGTCAGTGAGAAAGTATTCAGTGGGAAGGCTGCACGGATCCAGCTGACTTTGGTTCAGCTCCTTGGTCATGAAATTACAGACCAAAAGCTTAGAATACAATCTGTCCTGTAAAAGAGGACATTTTGTTTATGCCATTCAAATTAAATTATTTACTTTTCCATATCTTGATTTTTGGATCTGGGGGCTTTGATTCAATATTTAGCCTTGTTCCAGTTTTGCTGGAGGTATCTGAATATCTACGGATATGTCCAAGTGACACTACGTTTCAATAAAAAGGAACCAACTGAAAATAAAGGACCTGACTTCCTTGTAATAGTAAAATAAAAAACAGAAAGTAAAATTTGAGAGCAGGATTGCGAGGCGCTGAAAGTCGGTGGTAACTCCGTGACAAGCACCGCGCCGTAATAGGCCTGTTACATCCCTGGCCTGAACAAAAGCTGGCTAAAAAGAAATTTGAAGTATTGTAATCATGGTGAGAGCATCACTTGTGTCACCTGCAACTCGCTTGTAGTAACTACTGGTTATAACCGTGCCCTTGTGTAGGTTCTGGCAAAACAGAGTGACAGAGGTGTTTTCAGCTAGATAAACAGGGGCAAGAGACAACAGTTGTTTGTCCCATTTTATTGTTTACTTCTTGAAAACCACAAACATTCTAAAACAAGTCCTACAGAGCCTTTGGAAATTACCCAGCGCCATGCAGTTTTTAGCTATTAGTCACTCTCACTGAGACGGCTTGTGCTGTGTCTATGGAAAAGATGAAGTCTGAGGAAAGGACAGGATGTAGTCGCATGTAAAATGGGGAATTCTGACCAAAAATTCACGCGCGCACCAACCTTTGTACGAGGAAAGTGCTGAAAGCAATAAGCGGATTGAAAAAAATGTATCAGCGTAAAAACGAGCGCGCGCGCACTGTATTTTGTTCCGAAAGCCCCACCATTTTTCTGCAATATGCCAAGGACAAAGTCATCGGTCCTTTTCCAGCTCCTTGACATTCAGCTCACTGAAGTTTCCAAGTTGGAGGTTTAGTTTCGCTTCCGCCTCCCTCCCTCCCTCCCCAAATCACAGCTCTGCTCTCCCGAGTCCCTCGCAGAGATTCAGCGCCAGTAAAGCAGGGCTGCGGAGGAGGGCGTAAGCCTTACCTAAATCGCACGCGTGCAACCTGGGTGAAGCTGGCTCAGGCTGCGGGACGGTCAATGGCAGTGAGGCAGGCCGGACGATAACTGAGAGAAAAATGGGGCTTGCAGGATGCGATCCGCCAGTGGCTGCAGCTTGCGCAGCCCTGGTTTTCACTGATGCCAAGGGATGATCTCTTGCACTGGAATAATGTTTGCACGGGAAACTCAGTCGTCTGGGCGTGCTCCAGATATTGAAGGGAATGTTACCGTGCAAAATAGTTTTATTCACAGATTAATATATTAATACTACCTTTTGAGTTGTATTTTATACTTTTCCTCTTGTAGCTCTGTGAGCCACCCTCAGTAACAGGAAAAGATTTTCCTTTTTCACCCTATTTAGCTTCACGTCCCTGCAAACTAGGCCCCTCGCTAACTTAAAATACCGTGGACTGTGCGGTTGTTTTTTCAGTCGAGGATGAGAATAGAATATTCAGCAGCCAAATGACATGTCGAAAATGAAGAGGCGATTAAGAAAGAGGGTTACTTCTGGGTGTGTGTCCACAGGGACACCTACTGGTAAATGCAGAAAAAAAAAATGTTGCAGCAGGGTATTCATCGATAAATGGGGCAGACCTGTCCCGCCAGCTCTCCGTTTGTGTTTGTTGTTAAAAAGAAAATCCGGCAAGTTATGCATTTCTCTCATTTCATGAAGATGCTCATCTCTGCACTAGCTTCAAGGCCAGAGCTACACTGAGCTATAGCCTTATTAAAGCAAAATTGTGCTGCTGCTGCTGCTGCTGCTTGTATCGCTAGAGAGGAGACGGCCTTCGTCCTTAGAGAAAGTCTGGGAGGCAGATGCTCACGAAAGAATTAAGCCGAGAATGTCCTAATGATAGGGGAAATTGAAACCATAAGGCTGAGCTCAGTGGAAAGTATATCAAATTAAAGTTTCTAGTACTTGTAAGCCTTTATTTATATGAGTCTCTTATCTCAAAGGGATCTGCCAAATTAGAAAAAGCGGAAATACTGCAAATGACAGTGGATCATCTGAAGATGCTGCAGGCGACGGGAGGGAAAGGTAAGGAGCCGACAGTTTCTTTTCTAATATTTGGGGAAATCTCAGCAAAAAAAAGCGCTTTGAGGAGCCGTGATAGGCGTTTCCAGATTAAAGGAGTGGAAATCAATGCTAATGGCAGGATTGAACTCGTGGGAAAGAACTACTGGGACAAAAGAAGCACTTGACCCTGGGCTTGTGTTTGCTTTCATAACACTGTGGGAGTAAAGGCTTCATTCACAGGCAGCCCAGTCAGAGATTTGTTTGGGGTTTCCAAAGAGCACTGAAATCTGCACAGGGAGACAAAACAAATACACAAACACCAAACATAAACAGGAGGTTTGTGGCAACAATTGTGTAGCACAAAACCGATGCTAAACCTCATTATCCAGCAGCTATACCGAAGGAAGTGGATGGAGAGGAACTTTCATTATTGTTTATGTATTTTCTTTGTTCTGGAAAGACTTTTAAATGCCAGGTTAGACCGTCTCGTTCACCAGAACAAAACCCGGTCTTGCTCTCTGCAGCTCCAGGTACCTGATAAAACAGACAGGCGGACAGCTAGCAGCGCTCCCTGTGCTCACGTGTATATGCTATATTCGTGTGTCAGAGGACGTGTATATGCTATATTCGTGTGTCAGAGGACGTGTATATGCTATATTCGTGTGTCAGCGGTGTGGGTAGCTCCCTGGTAGTGGGTGCCGATGTGACGCAGGGGCTCCGCTGGCTGACCCAGTAGGTCAGCCGGCTGCCGGGAGTCGAGCATCCCTCGCTTGTGCAAGCTGACAGTCCCGAGGCTGGAGGCCAAATGATTTCAGCCACCCACGAGGTATTCTGTATAGTCACGATTTGGGAACTTGTTTGGAGTGACAAACTTCCTGGCCTCCTGTAAGCAGGGTCCCACATCCTGTGCCATCGACCGTGGTGATGGTTCAAACTGGTGCAATGGAAACTGGCCCGTTTTTCATTGACCCGTTCTGCCATCTAGGTAAAGGCTAGAAAAGAGGCGGCTGCTGCTCTCTCTTCCTTTTTCGATTAAACTCGGAAGTTTTCAGCCCGCGACTGAATTACTGCTCCTCTCTGTACCTTACAGTGAATACAGAATTCAACTTACAATCAGTGCATGCTTAAGAACAAATGGTTATAGGAAAGGCTGGTATTCTGCTATTTGTGAAAATTAACACCAAGCTGATGTAGGTATTTTCTAGGTGTTAAGAAGCTTTTGCTAGGAGTCCATTTAAGCTTAAAATCTATGGGTAACTTGTTCTACAAGAGGTGAAAGAAATTTTATTGCCCTTCATATAACAGATGCCTTGATTCCTCAGAAGATGTGCAAAATTAAAAAAAAAAAAAGTTAATTTTTATGTCTAAAAACGTCGTTTAAAAAGCACTATTTAGTCGGTAAAGCTACGCTCTCGAAAGTTACCCAACGCCAGAATGGACCATGCTCGTGCGGTTTGAATTCAGATCCTCCGTGCGTGATGGTGCCGTTTTTCATTGCGCGGGCGCGGGCTGGCTTTCCGCAAGCTCCGTCTCGCTTGGTGCAACGGGGCGAACAAGGTCTCAGCTGCTGAGGGGAGCGGCGGTTGTTTTCCCTTCATCCTCCCCGCGTACGACGTGCGGCTCAGCTATCCCAACCTGACCCCGCTTCCCGCTGCGCGTCGTTCCTCTGAAACGCTGCAGCAGCTCCCACCCCTCCGATGTCGGCACCCACAGCGGGAGGACCGGGAGGCGAACCCGATGGGGGGGCATAACTGAAGAGGAACCCTCCTTTCCCTGCTTCCTCGCCCCAAAAAAGTACATGGGGGATTATTTTATAACTGGGGCAGGGGACGAAGTGCCTGGGATGGGAGCTGCCGGGCGGAGAGGGGCGCCAGCAGAGCCCCAGGCTCCGGACAATGGGATTTTGTTAGCGGTCCCAGGTCCTGCGGTCTCTTCCTTGGTCCGCCACTGCCACCACGGCTCTCCCTGCCCTGGCTGACACCGGCGTGCCTGCGGCTGCCGGAGGGCGATGCGGGGAAGGACGAAGCGTCGGGGTGCGGGGAGAGGCGATGCTGGCTTGTACCCACAGCAGCCTTCCACACCACGGTCCGTAGTGGGAGGCGCATCGGTATAATGCCCATATAATACTGTGACTTTATCTTCTCCTTCCGACCCAGTAATCTCACTGCACGGATTAAGAAATTTTAAGGAAAAGAGGTTTGCAAGTTAGTACCGGGCAAAGTTTAAGCCCACGTTTCCCGCTTGCTTAATGTTTTACTTTGCAACCTAAGTAACACCTTTAAATATCATTTCTTAAGGAGTTTTTAAGGCAGATGTTTGTTTTATTTGCAAGTGTAGTTATTCCTACTTTGTCACTCATCTTCCAAGCCAGAAACCTTTTTGGATCAGCAAAAAAATGAGTTGCATCATTTTTCCTATGGACAAAAGCTATTATTGCAGCAGGGAGAAATGCGTCCTTATACCCTTATGCTTCCCCACACCGAGGGCTGGGGAGAGCTCATCCTCTTCCTCCTCACGCAGAAATGGAGGACACCCATGACAGGGGATGCCGGGGCTGGGCAAACTGGAGTGAAGTTGGCCACTGCTCAGCGTGCTGAGCCCGAGGTCGGCACAGTGGAAGAAAACCTGATGCGCCTCCTGTCCCTTCTCTGCTTTTCGGAGCTGCCCGGGCAGGCAGGCTGCCGCCTCCGAGGTCCTGCGCAGACTCCGCGTTTCCACCGCCCTGATGCAGGTGCAAGGAATGGTCTCCTCTTCACATTGAGTTACGGTTTTGGCCCGGGGCCAGGGCTTTTTGCTGACCGTGCAAGCGAGCACAGGGGAGGAGTAATTTGCCAACAGCGAGTCGCTTGCTGGGACCTCAGGGCGGTTTTATTGCAGCTTTGCTGCAAATTTAGCTTGGGTCACTGACACCTGGGTCAGCAACGTGGGTTAGTATAGCTCCAATGACTTAGCCGGTGTCCTGCGTGCAGAGTAGGGGGGTTACCGGGATAGCTGAAGCAAAACCTAAGCTTCCCGCTGGCTACAAAACGCTGGCATGTACGTGTGGGGGTGGTGGTGGAGGACGTTTTTGGGTTTTGGAAAGGAACAAGAAACAACATTTTTAAGTCTCTCTCAGAAGGGGAAAGCCAGAAAAGGGGAAACCTGGAAAAGATAACCATCAAAAGCAAAACATAACGGAGCCTGGGAATCCCAGCTCTCATCTCCCCTCTGTTTTCATGTCTCGGCCACCACAGGAGACCGAGAGGGAGCCAGGATCACCCGGGCTTTGGGACGGCTCGTCACAGCGCCGGCAGCTCAGACTTGGGGGAGGCTGGTGACAACCACATCCCCCACGTCTCCTCCGGTCCGGAGGGAGGGAAGCCGGGAAGCCCTGGCTTGAGCCCCGCGCTCGCGGGGCTCCCAGGCCGGCTGAATTGTGGCCAGAGCCGAGAGGCGGTTTTGGCCGCGCGTCAGCCCCTCTGAAGCCGACGGAGGTCCTGGAGCCTTCGGTGCGGAGGCATTCCCCACGCCGGGCTGGCTGACACCCCAGCAGGTACCACCGGTGGCCTGCCTGGCGTTCGTTTCTCGGGAATTCACTCAAACCGCAGCGTTTCCACGGGTCGCTTGGTTGCGGTGGACCCGGTGGGAAAAAAGCTGCAAGGAGTCGGGGCTCGGTGAGACGAGCCCTCGACCCCTGGCGTTGGCCGATATGCTGGCCGAGCCGGCGTTTCTCTTGGGTTCAGTACAGCCTCAGAAGAGCGAGGCAGCCTGCGTCAAAATCACTGTCATAATTTGGCAAGAAGGGGGGTATATCAGGCAGGGGATTTGGGGCGACGTCTATAAATGTGCCCAAGTTAATTCTGTAACACGGGTGTGCAGCGAACAGAAAGGCTCTTTTCTTGCTGGAAAGTTGAGAGAAGTGAAAACAACTGTCTAAGGTGCTAGCATTTTTCAGAAAGACCAAGGTCATTTCATGCCAGAGAGCGCAAGGCCTAATGCAGCTATCGCTGCTGTATTCCTCCACAATAAGGGCACTTGATCTTTATATACTAACATACATCAGAGTCATGCATACCTAAAAATCTTCACTGAAAGCAAGAGAAAAAAACACCATACCAGCTTGAGAGTGGATAGGACATTATTCTCCCAAGGAGATTGCTTTTAAACTAAAATAGGAGAATTCCAAAAACTGGAATAGGTTTTTGTGGTTGAAGAGCTGCAACTTAAGCACTAGATTTGATCCTAGACCCTTTTAGAAAGGGAATATCTTTTCATGTGCATTTAATAAGCCAAATTTTTTTTTTTCAAATGCTTTTTTGTCCCAAGCTTGTGGAGCTGCAGTTGCTGTTTGTTGAAATACCTCATGGGCCATATGACTGTCAGTCTTCCATCTCCAAATTAGCAATGGCATTACATAAAACGTTTTCTCAGTAAAGCTTTTTATTGTGTGTGTGCAGAGTCATGACAAGATGTTTTTAGTTTGTAGTTAAGTGACACCGTATGTCATGTTCTCTTAATGACTCTGTGAAGTAGGTGGGACCCCGGCAGCAGTTACAACAACTATCTTGCAATGTCGAGAAATAGTTTGAGAGCGTTACAGTGAATGCCAGCGTAAGGAAGAAAAGGCAGGGTCGTACACGCAAGCTCTCCGATCTCCAGCCTGTTTCTTTGTGTGGGTAACCGTCTCGTTCCCACACGCGCATGCAGGATCAATGCTGCGCTGCAGCAGCTTGCTGAGGAACTCCAGGAGAGGCATGGAGTATCTTTTTATGTATCGCGAGTACTTACGGACTTAATTCTTTTCGCTTGTGTATTGTCTGCAAAAAACGACTGCAGCCTATCGCGTTGCAGGGATGGTCGCACAAATCATTTGCAGCTCGGAAAACAAAATTTTCGCGTTGCGAGTCTTCACCCGTGACCGGGGGATCCAGCGGCCGAGCGAGGGCCAGGTTGGCCGCGTCACCTAACGTTGGCCGGGAAGCTGGCTCGACACTCAACGCATCTTTTGCCCTCCCATTGCAGGTTATTTTGACGCCCATTCCCTGGCCATGGATTTCATGAGCATTGGTTTCCGGGAGTGCTTGACAGAAGTCGCGAGGTACCTGACGTCGGTGGAGGGTCTCGACACGTCCGACCCCCTGCGCGTTCGACTCGTCTCCCACCTGAGCACCTGCGCCTCTCAGAGGGAAGCCGCCGCCATGACCTCCTCCATGGCCCACCACCACCACCACCACCCCTTGCACCCCCACCACTGGGCGGCCGCCTTCCACCACCTCCCGGCGGCTCTGCTGCAGCCGAACGGACTCCACACCTCCGACGCCGCCCCGTGCAGACTCTCCTCCGACATCCCCCCCCACGGCTCCGCGCTGCTCACCGCCACCTTCGCCCACGCCGACGCCGCGCTCAGAGTCCCCTCCGCCGGCAGCGTCGCTCCCTGCGTCCCTCCTCTCTCTACCTCCCTCTTGTCCCTCTCGGCTACCGTTCACGCCGCCGCCGCCGCGGCTACGGCCGCCGCCCAGAGCTTCCCCCTCTCCTTCACCGGCGCCTTCCCCATGCTTCCCCCCAGCGCGGCCGCCGCCGCCGCCGTGGCCGCGGCGACGGCCATCACCCCTCCGTTGGCCGTATCGGCCACCGCCAGCCCTCAGCAGGCTGGCAGCGGGGGCGGCAATAAACCCTACCGACCCTGGGGGACCGAAGTCGGAGCCTTTTAGGTGGCCCCCCTCTCCCTTCCCGGCCTGGCTCCCTCCTCTCCCTCAGCAGACGCGCCCGCGCGTGCGCTCGCACCCCCGCGTGCCCACAGCCGCCCACACATGAGCCCCCGGGACTCGGCCTGTCCCTCCCGCTCGGCCCGGCCAAAGGGCCCGAGCGGTGCCGGCAAGCCCGCCGAGGAATGGCACCACTCTCCTCCTCGTTCCAGGCGTCCGAGAGGACACGGGGCAATACCTTCTTCTTTTTCCTTTTCTTCTCCTTTTTCTTCTTCTACTTCTTCTTCTACTTCTTCTTCTATTTCTTCTTCTTCTCCTTCTTCTACTTCTACTTCTTCTACTTCTACTTCTTTTCTTCTTCTTCTTCTCCTTCTTCTTCTTCTCCTTCTTCTACTTCCTCTTCTACTACTTCTCCTTCTTCTCCTTCTACTTCTTCTCCTTCTTCTCCTTCTCTTTCTTCTCCTTCTCTTTCTTCTTCTTCTTCTTCTCCTTCTTCTTCTACTTCTTCTTCTATTTCTTTTTCTTCTCCTTCTTCTACTTCTTTTCTTCTCCTTCTTCTTCTCCTTCTTCTTCTTCTCCTTCTTCTCCTTCTACTTCCTCTTCTTCTCCTTCTCCTTCTTCTCCTTCTTCTTCTACTTCTCCTTCTTCTCCTTCTCTTTCTTCTACTTCTTCTTCTTCTCCTTCTTCTTCTCTTTCTTCTTCTTCTCCTTCTCCTTCTTCTCCTTCTTCTTCTACTTCTCCTTCTTCTCCTTCTCCTTCTACTTCTTCTACTTCTTCTCCTTCTTCTCCTTCTTCTACTTCTTCTTCTTCTTCTTCTTCTCCTCAGTTTGTTTTGCTGGAGGCACCTTGAGGGAGCAGCGGTGGCTTTCGTAACAGTGCAACCGTATCGGCACGTAGAGGTTTCCTGGGAAATACGTAGAAATACGTAGACATTAGAACTAATAATTCTCCAGCTATGCATCTGTGTTTGACAGAGAGGCGAGGGATCGTACCTACTGGGTCTCCCCAGGCTAGAAAAAGAGTTCGAATTTCATAAGTGCCTGACCTTGAAAAAATAATAAATAAATTAAAAAAGTATATATATGTGTGTTCTGCTAAAACAAATAACATTGCACAGGTATGGAAATGGTATGGGAGAGAGACAAAATCCTGCATTCAACTTCAGAACTGGGATACCTTTCCAGGGAAGAGCGTGCTCTTGAAGGGGAGAGGGTTTTTTAGCCAAAAGTTTGCCGAGGAAGAATGTTCAATTTGACAGGCCTAGTTCTCGCTTCCTTAGTTCACTTTCTTTGTACAGACTTGCCAGATTGTGACATCTAGCATAGCATTGGTAAAAGCAATTATCTTATCAGTGCTGGGATTAATGAATGTTTCAGCACTGCCTGTGAGCCTTGAGGCACCCTTTTTTATGGCTTAAATATGGTGCTAGCTCCTATCTGCACAAACAGTGAATTTGTCATGCACCCAGAAGTAACCACTGATTTAAAGTGTGCACACAGTCGATTCATGCCAATACAAGAGACTCAGTGTTCTAAGAGCTCAAATTAACTTATTTAGCTGTATTTGGACATTTACTTTTAGCCGATTCTGTGCAAGATCCCTCTTCACTATCAACTTCTGGGACAACGATCACTCTGGGTATGAATGAAGTTACAGTAGGGACAATTTTTTAATTGGCTATTAACACGCCAACATTGTAATGTGGGTTTGATTCCAAACCAAAATGAATGTATTAACGGGGATGTGAGTAAATTATTTTGTCAATACCCAGACAACTAGTGCTGCATAAAATGGTTTGCTTTCATTTTTTATTCCCGTGACTTAAAATAACCTAAGTATTTTAATACATCCAGTCAAGAACTAGAGATTTTATGTAAAAAAAAAATAAAAAATAAAAATAAAACACAGCATGTATTATTATGCACTTGATTTCTCTGCTGTGTGGAGAAAGCAATAAGCATCGAGAATGTTAAACATTATGCAAAATATACTTTAAAATATTTGTTTTAAAAATACTGTACCTAGTCGGTCTTTTATGCATTACTTTGTTAACCTTTTTTCTATGCAAAAGTCTTTACATATCACTAATTAAACGAAGTCCTTTTTGACTGCGTTTTATGGATGATTTGTTGCAGTTTTTGCTTGCTCTTCAAGAATACTTGTGGGCTCAGAGTTAGTTTCTGCCACTGGTAACGAGCCTGTCGGCTGCTCTGTCCTTTTCAGCTCCCCTTGCTCAGCCAGGAAGCCCGTCTCGTACAGTGTGCTCTGAAATAAGCAGAAAAAAGCAGTCGGTAAAGCAGCATCGGTTTTCAGGCTTGTAAATGAGTTCTGCGCTGATGGTATGCTTAACGATACAAACCCATCTGTCCATCCTGGAGAGCCCCCAAAATCGTTGGGGTTTCTAGGTTCAGCTTTCCTTCAGATCCTTGTCAGGGGCCTGCGTTTAGAAGGGAAGAATTTTAACCCGCTGGCATCATTAAATATCCGGGTTGCAAGAGGGTGTTTTTTCCCTCCAGTTCTGGTCTTCTAATTTACCAGCTCTCACTGAGGCAAGGGTTTGTTAGTATTTCATCTTAGATCTGCAGAGGCCCTCTGCAGAAGGCATGTCAAGCTGTGTCCGTAAGGATAAGCACAAAGTCCTACGTGTCCGCAAGACACTAAAAGATTATTATGCCCAATTAACAGCTGACAAGACTGAGGCACAGAAATGGGATGACTACCTTATAGCCATAGGGAGACCATCCATCACCAAAATGCAGCCTCAGCTCAGTGGCTCGCTCCCCATCATCCCGTTCTCCCAAATGTTAAGCACATAACCCATCCCCGCCTGCGTCGGACGGGCTCCAGCACCCAGGCAAGGAGGGCTTGTGATTTCCCTGAACAGCGTGCTGTCCCATGGAGAAAACGGACAAAAGATGGGGAGGGAGGCTCTCTACTCCTGCGCTGTAAATCGTGCTTGGTCTTTGTTGAAGTTTTGTTGTTTCTGGGGGAATCAGACATTTTTTGACTTGGGACACAAATGCTGCACTGCTGTACTGGCATGTTTAGCAGCATCTGGTTCAGGTACCATTCACTTTCCATATGAGCAGTTTCAAGAATAAAGATGACATTAGTGAACTGGCAAATAGATAAAAAGTGGGCTTTATTTACATGAAAAAGAGTGGGTTGCAACCCTACTTGACTTTAAGCTGTTAATTATTAACCTGCCCTCTAAGAGCCTGGTAGGAGGTCTCCCATGCATTATATCGTGTTAAAAATGGGCAGCCGCTGACTTGGTTGCACCCAAGGGCTTCAGTCTGATTGATGTGCCCCAAAACATCACCATTTGTTGCCCCAAATGCAACATTTTGCCTCATTCTAAAAAAAAAAGGGAGTTTGAAAAAAATATTTCTAAGAGACCAATTAGATGAAAGCATAGTTATTTTAGCATCCTGAAACAACACATCACGGATGGATTTGTGCAGCCGATGTGTTTGGGCTTATCCCATTTTCTTCCTCACAAAACAGGCCAAATTCATGGATGCCAAGTTGCTGATGTCTCCTCTCCTTTCTTGTTTTGTTGTCTTTTGTTTTGTTTTATTTTGCTTTTTTTTTTTTAATCTGAATCACCTGAAAGGACCAGCACACGAGGCAGGAGCTCAGCCTTCATGCCTGTTTAGTCCTGAGCCTCTGTTGGGAATGTTACCTCTTTGCAAGAGCAGATGAAGATTTCCCAAGTGAGAAATTGGTGGAGAAGAAGCATATTTCACATGTGCTGTTGGAAAGACATCAGAGGGTAATAGCTTCTGATGGCTTTGGTTGTAGCTGTGCTAACAGGTCAGAGCTGAAGGAGTCTGTGGAATTACTAAAACAGAGCAAGGCAAAGCTGTTTCCCTGGCATAACCAAGACCCAAAAGGTAGGACTCGTGGCTGTGCACGCACAACCTTACTTCAGCCCTTTTCTCTCTTTATGCTGCGTTCAATGATGAATGGACCTGGAGGATGAAGAAAGTTTGTAATTCATATAATTTAGGGCTAGATCATAGCACACAGTACAAGAAAGCAAATCAGGCTGCTTACTCAACAGTTTATCTGGCTTCGACTAACTTTTCAAGGCGTGGGTTTGCAACCTTAAATTCCAGTTAGCAAGAGGATCAAAGGAGGTTATGCAATTTCCTAGAATGTTTTTCTTAAGAGGAAAAAGCTAAAAACCAATTCTGTCACTCAGCATTAACAAGCTGGAAACCTTAGCCCTCAGCAGTGCAAATAAAAAGCACTTAGGCTGCTGTAGCTGTGAGACTAACTGTGTCACACAGCACCAAAAGAAGATTATTACCCTAGAGAGGAGACGGGCAATTGAGAGGCGGTGCTGCCCATCCTCCCTTTGCTCGGATTGCAAGTGGAGGAAATCCGGCATTAAGTATTGCCCCAGAAGCAAAACCAGCTACTGTGGCCGAGGGTTGAATGCATATATTCAAACCAGAATAATCGTATCCTGGCTGTGACTACATCTGCCTGAACAACTGCCAGGAGGTGCCAGTTCATGCTGCTGCCTCCTTAGTATGAACCTTCAAAATGTTTGTTTGCAGCTATTCTGAAAGATGATACTTCAATCAGGATGTCATGAGATAAGTAAAGGGCATTTACCCCAGCCTGGGACATGGATATCAGCAAATTCTTAGGGCTATTGTAAGTGAGAGATTTCTTCTTCATAACAGAAAAAGGTCACAAGTGTCTTTTCATCAGAAGAGACTACATCAGAAAATGCCACTGAAGTGTGGACTGTTACCAGCTGTGTAGTCCCCAGTCTCATTAGTCGTCTGCTTCTATAAGGCACAGAGAGCCTGGGTTCACACAAATGAGGACCTGAGTGATTTAATAGTCACAGGTAGTTTTGTCCAACTTCAAGAAAAGCTGAAGAAATCGGTATAGCTTTGTTTGAACGTTTCATGTGCTCAGCCTTATTTGTGTGAGGCTACTGCCCAAACCTGAGGGTAATTTTACTCAACGCTGCAATTTTTCCTTGC